TGGTTTTCTTTTCACCCTCTTCTATTGCTGTGCAACTATCACGTCCATCCTTAGATACTGTAAATGAGCTCTTGATCTTAGATTTAGGTTAGCCTGACTTAGTGGTTTGGGATATGGGAAGGCACTGTCATGCTGCTGACTCTCACAACACTCACACCCTATTTTTCAGTGTATCCAACACCCAACAAGATTCTCCTTTGTTTAGATAGAGGGGCAGCACGAAACATGAAACTACAAGAGAATTGCATAAAGAAGTGTGTATTCTGGTGGCTCATGTTAGCCAAGAAAACCCTTTGGCACACAGTGGAAAGTACCTGGAGCCCTGGAAGAATAATTTAGGATTTATGCAAACACCCTAACTGGCTCTGTTTATCCTCTATTGGTGCAAAAAGGGAGATGCCCAAAGAACAGAAGCATTTCCAAGTCACAAAGCAACAGCCAATGGCTAGTAGTAGAAGAGCTAAGATTTATTTCATGGGTTGTGGATCTCTCAGGACGGGGCTTTTGGTAGGGGGACTAAATCTGAATAAACTAGCAAAGAATGGACTGAACCTAACTACATACATCTAATGAATATACTGTGGTCAAAAATGGGCAATACTGTCTCTGTGAAAGACAGCAGTGTTTGTGTTGTCTCAACTCACTTTGTTTTGCACTTCACAATGAGGAAGTCACGCTATCAGGAAACCTACTGTTGTATAAGAACAGAAAGTGCCTGGCTTCTTTCTTCTCAAGTCAGAAAAGTCACATGATTTTTGAAGCTGAAGTTTCAGCAAAAAAAAAAAACCAAACATTTTCCACCTTGACTGTTTTTGAAAGTCCTGCTTTAACTTGCTCAGAAATATGCTGATACCGTGTTACCCCAGTTAATACAGTTCATTGGATTTAGCTTTCAAAGTCACAAGGCAAAAGGAAAAAATAATAAAAAAACTCTTAAAATATAAAAAATAATTTCCTAAACAATAGGAAATTCAGAGAATTAAAAAAGAAAGAAACAAAGAAAGAAAAGGAAAGAAAGAAAAAGAAAGAAAAATATCTAATTATGATATCGATGGTACAATTATTTAGTTACATATTACTAGAGGTATTTTTCCAGAATAAGTAAGATTAATAAGAATGGTAAGACTATTTTAAAAAGAGGTTCTAAAGAAACTCAATTTTCTGAATTAATCAGATTGACGGGGCTTGTATTTTACAGCTTCTTCCTTTTGTCTCAGGTCTGTTTGTCTTTGAGCAGGTTTTGTGTCATCTTGACATAGTTACAGCCAGTGATGAAATCTCTAATGACCTGCACAGGGCTCAGATTTTATCCTTGAGTGGTCACAACCTGTTCGTCCGCCCTTCTCTCCAAGGGAATGAGTAGTGGCAAGTCTCCTGAAAAGGACCAAGGTTTTCTCAAATTATGCAAGTATGTATGCTGGCAGGTGGTTAGAAAATGTGTTTAAGGTAAACCAGTGTTAAAATAACCTGTTATAATGAAATATGCACTGAAGTCTGGATTAGTTCACTTTTCTGTATCAGCCAGCAGCTTCTTCCATGCAGAACCTGCCAGCTGTGAATCCATCAGCATTTGCACCAGGAGGGTTGGACTTTGAGAGGTAGAATGGTTAGAATTATGTGAAATGAGCATGTATATAATTCCCATTATTCTCGCTGCATCTTCTCCCTAAATGTTACTTGTAAGAGGAGAAACAGAACATTTTGTGCAACATATCAAGCAGCACTTTATTTTTCAGCATGCAACAGGAACTGCTGCTAATAAAAGCACACAGTGTTATGCGGTGACTGAGACGTGTTTTCCCCACATCCTCTCCAGAGATGGAGGTCATGTCTAGTCTGAAGCTACCTGAAATAGCCAAGCCAGTTCCTCCAGATCCTTCCACTGATGAACAATTTTTTCAGAGTTATGGGACCTCATCCATACTTACACCAAAAGCATATTTTTATTTCTATATAATTTTCTAATGTCCTCTTTTCTCAGAGGCTGGACAGAAAGGCTCAAAGTGGGCACCAGTTTTCTTTCTTTACTGTCACTAATCAAACTCCCTTTACTTCTCATATTTTAATTTCTGATTTCCTCCTTCGCTAGGAAGATTCCTTGAATTCCTGTATGAACGCCTCTCTCATGCCTCAAAGGTTCTCTGTTTGTAAGAAATAAGAGGGGAAGGAGAAAAACTCCTTATTCCACATTAGAATGCAGTGAGTTAATAATTTTTGATTGCACGATTAAATATTTTCAAGTATTTCAATCCAAATTGTATCTCCTGTCAAATCTCTGGAGCAAAATACAGAAAAGGCAATTAATATTCTGTATTGACCTGTAATTTTTCCAGATTAGTCTTTGGATGACATTCAGGATTCTCTTAGCATTTTCAACTAAATATTTTCTTCCTCATACTTTTACCTTGCATTGATATTTATGAGTTCGTAGTTGCTTCCAGATATTTTTAAAAGTAACTTTAAATTACAGTTTGTCAACACCAGGCTGTACATAGAAAAAATATTAATCTCTGTCAGAATAGTAGAGAATACTAAATAAATACTGCAGGAGCATTGCTCAGAATTCAGGGCAAATGCAAAATTAACAATTTCACATAATAAAGCTACATGAATTTCCATAAGCTGGAAATAAAAGGACCATAATTCTCCATTATTATCTTTGAAGACATATTTTAGGTCATTAGAACTCTATTCCCATAAGCTAGTACATCTCATCTGTCATTTGTAATTATGCCCTGTAATGATTTTGGGATTTAGACATAACTAATTATCTGCCTGCATCCACAAATCATCTATCTCATGTGCAAATAATTTGGGGTATAAAAGTTATAGAAATAAATGTTGGGAAAAAATCAAGCCAGGCCTCAGTTTTGTAACTTTATGTTTTGTAGACAGTTGAAGTCCCTTTGGCTCTGATCTTGAGTATGCTTAAATCAGGGGTAAGGTTCTCAGGCTCCTAAAAGAAACCTACAGAATATAAAGTTTTCCTTAATACTAAGGGGGGTTCTCACAATGAGCAGGTGGTTTTCTTATGTGTCACAACCAGGGTTTTGTCTTTGGCACAGTCTTCTGCACTGCCCAGAAGTGATTCTTTAGTGGCATCTTGATTTTTGGACCTTCAGCATGCATCCATAACAGGTTTCCACATTTTTTCCCACGACAGACGAATGAAAAGTTTTGCAATAGCACTATCAACTTTTTCATAGAATCACAGAATGGCTTGGGTTGGAAGGGACCTTAAAGATCATCCAGTTTCAACCCCCTGCCATGGGTAGGGACACCTTTCACTAGACCAGGTTTCTCCAAGCCCCATCCAACCTGGCACTGAACACTTTCTCTGCAGACCCACAGAGCTGGTCTATGCATGGTCGTGTTGCAAGAGATGTGTGGCTGGCTGGGCTGGCAAATACAAGGGCTGTAGCTGGGGACTGGACTTGTAAGACGCTTGGGGTGTGGGCTGTCTGAGAGGAGCCTTTCCCCTATCCTGCCATGCCTGCAACTCTCCTACTTGCTGCCTTCTCCAGGGGTGAGGTTCACCCACCAGGCCCCTCTCCTGTGTGTCTGGTTGTGCAGTCATGACACAGGAGGGAACTGCTGGCACCACGTCCACCACAGAAAACCTGTGCCAGTAGCAAGGGTCCTCAGTGTCCAAGGCACATCAGTCACTTGGTCTTTCAAAACACTAATCAATTCAAAACTGCAATCAACCACAAGTCTCATATAAAAAAGATACCAACTCTATTTTTTCAATTAGTTTTGTTTGTTTAGAAGCAATTTATCAAAAAGAAGGTGACAGTGAAAAGAGTGGTCAGGTGGTACACTCGCAAGTAATGAATAATTCGGTTAATGTACTTTCACTGTTTGCTAGAACATGTTTTCTTGTGCCCTCATACAGCCTTGCTGGTGTCTTTGATAAGTCTTTGGCAAGGTGTGCTTAGCAACTTCATCGCTAACTCCTAACACCCGTATAGATCCAAGTACCCGGGAGGTGCGGACACGGTTTCGGCAAGTGCTCCCAGGTCTGCTCCTCATGGTCTCTGTGCAGAGCCGAGGCTGACCCTCTGCCCGCGCACCCTGGCGTAGGCCCGGTGCCCGCTCTGCTCCAGGGTTCTTCAGCTCCCAGGAAAAAAAAACAATTCTGACGAATTAAATTTGTTGATTATTCACCTGTGCCAAGCGCTCAGCTCATTTAACGCAGCTGCGTTTTCCTAAATCGTCTTCTGCCCCGGAAATTCCGAAGCTCTCGATTACCTCCC